CTTTTCCAAAATTATTTAAAACAAAAAAGCCCAGGTGGTCATCGTGTGCAGAGACTCAGTGAACTGGATTTGGGCGGAGTGTGCAACCCCATCTAATTTTCATGCTCACGGCCAAGTCATCTGAGGTCTGTCTGGGTTTCATTTTCCTTCAACAGCACCTGTGTTCTTTCCCACAAATAGAAGAAGTATCTGACTGCCTACAGAATAATGTCACAGCACTGGACAGTTAAGAAACAAAAGAATGTCTTAAGAATCAACAGTCTCCATTGAGGAGGTACATACAATCTAGAGTAAATGAGTAACACTAGAATACTCTTACTAGAAAGATCTTAAGATTCTTTGAGATTTCAGGGTCAACCAATATTCTGATTAGTTATTTGGATCATCATTCTTCCTACCCCAAAGTTACAGTCTTTAAACAATAAGAAAGTATTTTGCGCTTACGGGACATACAGCATCTGGTCACACCCACTTCAAGGATTCATTCTTAATATTAATGAAAGCTAACATCTTTAGAGTAAGGTGACCATATAATTTATCTTCTGAGTTGGGCACTTTTGAAAGTGAAAGGAGATGTTATTAATAATTGTACTGAGATAACAGGTATTAACCAGAAAGTGGGGGTTATGGTCATATATCTTTACATTAAAAATAATTGGCAATTAGAGGTAAATTCTATGATATGTTTTTAACACAACACACAAAAAAATTGGCAAGTAGCCCTTCTTATAAGACAAAAATCTATATTTCCCCACTAAAGTAAGAGAGTCACTTAATTTTTGGAGTCTTGAAGAGTTAGCATCCAAATTCAATGGAATGTTTTCTTATAGGCTGAGAATTTACCAAGAACCACCTGAAGCCTATAACTTGAGCTCTTGAAAGTTACATATGGCAAGATAAGAGGTCTAATATTGATATTTCTATTCCAGTGAGCATATACATTCAGAATAAATTTTAAAGGGGCTGAAATCTCATTAAATTAACAGGAATGACATGGAAGAAATAACACACACTATTTCTTCTGATCTTGGGAAAGTCACTTATGTTAATTCCTACGACTGTGACATAGAATACTTGGATTTTACTCTTTAATGCATACTACAAGAGAAATTCCATTAGTGGAAAATGGCATTCAGAGGACTCCTAAAACAAGAGCTAGCTAATTGATGAAGTGATCCTAAAATCTACTCCAGTGTTTTTCATGCACGTGAAATAATTTCTTCCATGTTAGGCATGGGAGCAAGAAGTCACTATAGAGAATTATAGCAACGTCAAAGAGCTCCATGAATCTTAACAATAGCACCACCAGGGGGTACTATAGGCCCAAAAGGAACACCATTCACAGACTGAATGTTCTACCCAGGATGTGTGAGCCAACCTAATGTCTCCTTATGTCTCCCTATGGACAAACCTCAATCCCTACATGCACTCTATTTGTCTCCCCAGCTATGGGCTTGTGCCTAATGGCATACTCTGTCTTTTCAGTCAATTTTTCCCCCCCAATGTCTGCCATTCCCCTTGGTCACCAACCCTACCATTTCCATTCCTTATGGCCATCATATACACCTCCCTTCTCCCCTGCAGACATCTGCCGCCCCTACACCTTTTTCCGCCTTCACACATTTCCTACTCAGCTCTCTTTGTACAACTTAGGTCTTCCAGCATGAACATCACTATTTTAAATCAATTATTCTCCAAATAAAATATTTTCTATAAAGCCTGTTTATAGTGGTAAGGATAGGAATTATAATTTAAGGTTGCTTCAATTTCATTTATCTCTGAAAGGTAATTTAGTTCCACCTTAATCCAACTTAAAAAAAAAAGACTTTTCAGAAGAAAGGTTAAATGAAGGCCTAAAGCCTGCTAATTTCTCAGTGATCCCTGTAAATCCATTTCTGCCCCAATTGTCAAGTTGCATTTCAATTTTTTCCTTCTATACTCCCCATCCACGCATTTCTACTGTTACTACTTTTATATATTTGCCCTAAAGCACTGTTTTCTAGGTCAATGTCAAATCCTTTGATCTTTCAGTCCCATCGATTAAATTATTTTTGCAGCTTTAATGAGATGATTCATATACTACTATTCAATTCACTCACTTCAAGTGTACAATTCAATGGCTTTTCGTACATTCAGAGTTGTGCGGCCATCACCACAATCAATTTTAGAACCTTTCCATCGCCCTGTCAGGAAACCCCGTACCTAGTGGCAGCCTGTCTTCATTCCCCACCAACCACCCCACCACCTCTGTTCCAGCCCTAGGAAACAACCTACTCTCTGTCTCTCCAGCTTTGCGTATTCTAGATATTTCATATAAATAGAATCTTTTGTGACTGACTTCTTTAATTGTAACATGGCCCCAACATTCACCCATATTATAACATGTATCAGTACTTTATTCATTTTTATTGCTGAATAATATGCCATTGTATGGAATTTAATTTACCCAATTATCAGTTGATGGGCATTTGGTTTGCTTCCATGTTTTGGCTATTATGAATAATACTGCTATAAAGGTTTCTGCACAAGTTTTGTGTGAATATACATTTTCATTTCTCTTTGGTATTTCTATGGGTTGAACTATACCCCCTCCCACCCCCCCAAAAAAAAGATATTTTGAGGTCTTAAACTTCGGTACCTCGGAATGTGACCTTATTTGGAAATACAGTCTTTATAGAGGTTATCAAGTTCTCATAAGGTCATTAGGGTGGGCCCTAGTCCAGTATTATCAGTGTCCTTACAAAAAGGGGGCAATTTGGATAAGAAATGGACACACACAGGGAGAATGCCAAGTGAAGATGAGTGGTTGCAGTGATGGATCTACAAACCAAGGAACCAAAGATTTCGGGAAAAACCAGAAGCTATAAGAGGCAAGAAAGGATTCTCTCCTAGAGCCACTAAGGAGAGCATGACCTGACCAAAACCTTGATTTAGAACTTCTAGCCCCCTGAACTGTGAGAAAATTAATATCTGTTGTTTTAAGTCACCCAGTTTTTGGTACTTTATTACAGTAGCTAATACAGGTACTAATTCAGATACATATCTATAGTTGGAATTGCTGGACTACATGGTAACTCTATATTTACCCAATGAGGAAGTGCCAGATTGCTTTCCAAAGCAACTACACCATTTGTTTTTCAATAAATTATTAATGGTTTCAAAACCTCCCTCAACTATAGAAAGTAAACTTTTTTATGCGTAAACTGGCCTTCCACAGGTAATTCTCCCTGTACCCCCACCATGGTGACAGTCTTCTTAATCATCATTTGTTAAACCTTTCTATTCCTTCAAAAAAAGAACAGTAACACATAGTTCAATCATCAGTTCCCTGATAGGAAGGGGCATCTAGAATAAATTATGGTTGGGGCAACAGAATAATCTTACAGAAATGTAAACCTGAAGATAGGAGAGAAATGTAATAACGTCAGGAAATTGTTTTTAAAGGGAGGTTTTCCTAGCTAAGACAGGGAAGAAAAGAGGATCCCCAAAGTGATGATAACATTTCCTTTAGAGAAGGGAGTCTGGCCACAAAGCGATCTAATTCCCATCTCTGGAAAGAACTGGCATGTGAGAAAGAATATATCTTCTGACAGAAACTTTGAAATTCTGAATTTCAAACAATAAAATACTATAGTCCAATAATGATGAAGTTATACATCACTTAATCAAATATCTGACTATTCTGAACAAGGAAGAATAGAACTCTTTATATTGTTGAGTAAATAAGATATATACACATACACACACAAACAGATCGAGCGCCATGTCTAGCCCATAAAATTTTTAATAGCCAATAAAGTCTGTAGATTTTAGATTTCTGCACGACTAATGGATGCAGGTTATATGAGTAATGATTTGGCTCTTGGCCGATGTTATAAAAATTAGGGGTAAAAAACACACGCTAAAAAGTTTACAATACAATCTCATAAAGGTCACTTCATTTTGTTACCAATAACCTATTTTCACTTACTTCACATACAAGGTCAACCTCCTCATTTTTCATACAGAAAAGTAAAGCAGAATGAAAAAGGAATGTTCTAGAAATGCACTCTAACATCAGTAGGCTAACTGCTGACAGTGATGATAGACAGAAAACCACCAGACAGAGCGGATCATTCAAAAAGCACAATAGTCCGAGATTATTTAGTGGAGGGAGAAAGGGGGATGAGAAATCCCCTAAAAATGTCACAGTGCAGTCACTGATGCCCAAAACTGGTGAGTTTGAGTCCTCAAATGAGTTCATTTAGTTCACGTTACTTAAGAGAAAGGCAACAATACAATACGTTTTGGAATACATTTAGAATGCAGCATCAAGCAGAATTGAGGCTACTGATTATCTCCAATAAGCCATCTTTTTAGTTTCCTCCCCGCTCACTTTCTCTCAATCAGTGACTAAGCCTAGTCTGGAAAGGACTAGAACAAAAGAATTGTTCAGAATACCTAGGTCTGAAAACACAGCAATAATTGCTTAAAGTTGGAAGAACGTGAGATAATTTTAACTTATCTTGAAAGACTCGAATAAATAAATTTACTTAAATACCATTTCTACAGAAATGCCTTCCTTCCTCAGCCTCCTTTCACCTTGCTACAACACAAGCCAAATAATCCTTTGCATCAGAGGTTCTCAAAATGGAGAACCCCAAGCAGCAGTATCAGCGTCACCCGAAAATTTCTTAGAAATACAAATTCTCAGGCTGGAACCTCATGCCTACAGATTCAGAAACTCTGAGGGCAGGGCCAGCAATCTGTGGTAGACCAGGCTCTCCCTCCAGGTGATTCTGATGCTAAAGTTTGAGAACCACTGCTCCAGATAACATGAATATAAAAGGCAGAGAATGTTTTATTTATAGGGCAAAAAGACTGAAGTGACAAAAGGGAATAGGCAAGGAAAGTCTCTTATGTAAATTGTGCATTACTAGCTTAGAACCATGTCCTTTCCAGACCAAGGCTCAACTATCACATTTAGCGACCTCTAATAAGTTGCTAAAGATGGTACGCACCTTCCAGATGTTTCAGAAGTGCCCTACAGCTATTTCCATGAGCAGATATCAGAATGGTTTTGCCACTTAAGACTTCAGGAGCAATCCTTTCCCTCCAAAACGGGAGGAGCCTCTCCAGAACATCCTTCAAGCTTTCAGATCGTGGCAGTTGATCCACAGGTACGTCGCACACTTTATACCTCCGGTCATTGTAGATTTCGTGGTAGTAAGGATGAGACTCATCGATGGGTGGCGGGGTCACATTGTAGCTTCTTCTCCAGAGCCTCACTTGTTCTTCGCCATGATTCAAGGCCATTTTCTCCCTATTGAGACCAATCAAGGCTCCATAGTGACGCTCATTCAGACGCCAGGAGCTTTCCACAGGAACCCACTCCTGCCCCAGCTCTTCCAGGATCAGCCAGGCTGTGTGGATGGACCGATTAAGGATGGACGTGAATACAAGATCACACTCAAAGTTTAGCGCTCTGAGTTGCTTCCCACAGTTCCTAGCTTCCTCCAATCCTTCACTGTTAAGTTTCTGATCCACCCAGCTACAAAATCGATTCTCTTTATTCCAAGCACCCTCTCCATGTCTTAACATAATCAGTTTGTATTTGGACATACTGAGGGCTAAGTGACCCTTGTGCCTTCAAACGGGCCAATGTTCAATGACAGAAATACATCTAGAAAGAGAAGAAACAAAAAGCATAAGTTATATTCCTCATTTAACTGACTACCTGGGAATGGAAGCACAACTTTACAACATTCAGTTTCTAAAATAAACTAGGATAATTCCTTTGAACAGTTTTGACATCAGACATCTGGCAACTCATACACTATGGCATATATAGGCCTATTCTACAGATAACTAATTACAGGGAACCTAGTTGACTTAAATTTTCTGATGGCTAGATAGCATGTTAATTGTATGATGTAAAAGAGCAGAACACTTCATTCTAATGGCATGCTGCATTTCCACCAGATCAAAAGGCAGTTTATGCTTACAGAAAAGAGGATTTAACAGAATGAGTTGTAGGTGTCTACAAGGATGACTAGTAGCTGGGAACTCCCAGCTCTTAGCTTAGCAGCTGACTCTAGACTGAAGGCATCCTTCTTATTCTGATTTCTTCTAGTGGAAAAAGAAATATTTACCAGTCTCACCTATTACAGAAGTTATTAAACAGGTTAATTCAATAAACCACCACATTTATCTGATGTGTAAATCACTGATTGGTGGCAACTAGCTCTTCAATGCCACAAGAAAACTAGGAAACCTAGGTCTGAAGACGCAGCAACACAGGTCACACCTCATACGAGAAAACCTAAGGTTCAACATTCAAAAAACATTAAAAGTAATTTAAAGCGACATTAACATGGAACATGGTACTCACCTAAATAGTCTCTCACCTGCCTCAATACAGAGTTTTTGGCGGGAATAAATCCGAATGTAAAGCAAGCTATCAAATGCAGGCAGCTGAGAGATGCTGCCTGTAGAAACAGATTAACAGGAGCAGGTCTGTAGGAGTAAGAGGGAACTCGGTGATAAGGAGGCCCTGTCTCCTCCTCCCCACCCTTCAGCGAGCCTACACACGCCAGCCACGTCTCAGTGGGAGAAGAATCTAATAAAGTAGAACAGGCAACCCTAAAGTGTTCTAAACCTGTCAAGTTGAGCCGCTGGTCCAAAGACCTGCTGGGCCACTCTGTCCCCCAGAGAAAGTGCTGCCAGGCCTCATCAGTCTGCCTTCATGCTCCTTGCAGTGGACGCACCTGCACTGACGAATGCTGCTCAGTTTACAAGCCCAGCGCTCTCCACCTCCACCCCAGCGTCTTCTGCTCTGAGGAGTAAAGATTATATGCACATCGGGGCCTGGTCTTCTGCCAGTCTTGGCAACTTCCATTTTCTGTCCCATTTAAACTGTGATTCAGTTATACAACAATCAGTGAGAAAGTTAATTGGAATCCAGATCTATTTCGCCCTTTCTTTAGTAATTCCTAGAGATTCTGAAGGGGGAAAAAGGCTTTAAAATACGATTTCATATTTCAGTGAAAAGCAAACCGAGGACACGAGGAAGGAAGCAGATTGAGGTGATTTGCAAGTAGCTGAAAGGCTCCAGCAGATAGGTTTATGATTTCCCTTTCTCATCTAGCACCAGGTTTGAAGCTTTAGTGCATGGGGAGCAGGGAAGCACGAGATCACTCCAAGAGCCTGAGCTCAGGGCTCAGGTGAAGCCGATGCCTCTACCCTCAGCCCAGAGCGACATAAGGGTAGCAGGAGAACAGAAAATGGATGAAGGTGTCTGGGCGTTGTTTGGCTAGGTGATTACTGGTGCCCAGAAACAGAATAATAATGAAGCTAATGAAGCTCAAGCTTTAGGGCAACTCACTGGAACAAACTCCTTCTAAGGCACAGGGACAGACCAAATAATGAACTCACATGGATGAGTGTGAGTGTGCGCATGTGTGTGATTTACAAAAGAAACATATTTTATATTGTTTCTTTAAAGAGCCCCATCCACCAGGTAGTAGAAGCTTCAGGCCCATCAGAAACTGAATAACATTTATTGTCTTGCTTTTTTTTTTGGGGGGGGGGGGTTGCTGAGGAGAGAAACGAAGAAAAGAGAAGCTATCAACTGTTCCTTTACTTTGTCTTGTCAAGTAAGAAGCCTCCTTACACTAATGAGCCATTTTCCCTTCATATGGAGAAGGGTATGATGGACAAATTTTGTAGACAGAAGCACTTCTCCAACATCTTTTGATTATGAACTCTACCCACAAAACAAAAAAAATGTAGCAATAGCATCAATGAACACTCAGGCTTTGCAGTATTTCAATCTGCTACATTTGCTTACTTTGTTTAAGGAATAAAACAATTTTTCCCCTCGAATAGATATATATACTGGAGCACAGCATTAGTATGACAGCCACAAAGACCGTACAAATACGAACCCATCACTCACTCTGGTGCACAGGGGGTGAATACAGAGTAAGGTCCCAAGCTAGTGCATCTAGCTCAGGCAAACAAAAAGACACTTCCCTCTCTCCTTGCTGCTATCAACTGACTTTTCCCATTTAATTAACTGTTGAATATATACAAACGCGCCGTTGAGGTTGAAAACTGGCAATCTTTAAGATTTCAGTCATCGTGAGAGCTGGTATACCAAGCGTTTGCCAACAAATACACAGCCTAGACAGCTTGGTTTAAAGTGTAAGGTGTGGGCTGCAAATTCACATGCCTCACTGGCCAGACAGATGTGTGAAGAGCAGCGATGCAGGGCTAAGGGATGGTGGGAACAGTGGTGAACTGCAGAGCACACGTGTGCTTCTCTGATGGATGCCACTCTTGTGTAAATGGATGAAGTTCTTGTATAACCTGGTCTCACTGACCTACAGGTACCATTCTTAGAACTTTTCTGGAGAACAAAAAGAAGATGGATTGCTAAAACTGAAGACTGGAGAGAATGCGAGACATTGTCAGACCATAGAGAACCTATGAATTCCGCTTTGTTTTTAGTGTAAATAAATGTCTTTTAAAAAATAAAAATGATCATTTAAGCTCCTGAAAGTTCATATAAAAAATAAAAGGACGTGTGGCTACTACTTAACTCCAGCCCATTTCCCTGTGACACTAAAGAAGTGGGGTTCCTAAATTTTCCAATTTTCATAAACATTGGAAATGTGCATTTTTATATGATATATGATATAAATACTGGTGACTAATTTGAATACATTTTTTAAATGTGAGCTAAACAAGATATGTCTGCAGGCAAGATTGAGTCTGCTAGTGTGTGACCTGTGACTTAAAGGGAAACCTCCTCCTGGCAACATATGACTGAGGAGGCCACCATGCCCAGATGGTCAGACCCCAAGCTTCCAGGCTCAAACCTCAGCTTTCCTCTGTTATTGTCCAATATACTCTTTCAAAGGACAGACCTTCTAATCCCCATGTGTTGGACTTCCTCGTCCCTGACCCTCCGTCACCAAACCCATTGCCACAGCCTTGCAAAGTCCCAGCTCTGTAATCAAACTTCCACTCAACTTTGGACTCTCCCTGGAATGCTTCCTCCAGCTCTGAGCTGTAAACCACGCAGAAAATAAACTAAATGCAAAACTACCCCCCAGGTGTCTATTACTCTCTTGAGTGGGTAGTGTTTGTGCCCCATATTCTGGGAGAGGAGCAGGTGACAGGCAGGGTCCTGCTCCCTTTCCATGGGACTTCCTGATGAAATGCTTCTACCCCAACATCTTTTAGACGGGAGAACTTTGATTCTGAGAGTCTTGCTATGTTTACTGAGCACCTTATTTAAAACCCTCAATTATTTCCTGTTGATCTTAGGACGAAGTTCAAAATCCTTAATGTGACCTGCAAGGCTGTGGTTTTCCTTATTATTTCCTTGAGCATGCCGTGTTCTTTCTTGCCTTAGGACCTCTGCACATACTGTATCCTACACAGAATCCTCATCCAGCCCATCATCCCCTCCACTGTCACTTTATTCCCATCCTATTTTAGGTAACCTCTAGCCATCCCTTCGATCAATCAAAATATAATGCAATCCACATATATACTTTGAAACTTTCTAAAAGCCACTTTAAAAAATAAAAAATAGGCAAAATTAATTTTAATAACATATTTTATTTAACTCTACAGGTTCAAAATATAATCATTCCAACATATGATCTCTATAAAATTCTTAATGAGGTATTTTATATTCTTTTTTCATAGTAAATCTTTGAAATCAGGTGTGTATTTTATCCATAAAGCACATCTTAATTTGGACTAGCCACATTTCAAGGGCTCAATAGCCACACGTGACCAGTGGCTACTATATTGAACGGTGTGGCTTTAACGCTTAGCTTAAATGTTATTTTCTCTAAGCTAGTGGTTCTAAAACTTTACTGTGCATCAGAATCACCAGCAGAACTGGTTAAAACAAACTGCTGGGCACCCCACTTCCACAGCCTGACTGAGTAGGTCTGGGGGTGGGGGTGGGCCTGAAATTTGCATTTCTAGCAAGCTCCTGGTGATGCTGATACCGCTGATTTGAGGACCATGCTTTGAGAACCTCTGATCTAGGCAGACTTCTCTCACGTATTGGGATATAGTCAGGCCTGCCTGCATACACTCTTATGGCACCCTGCTTTACAACACTGGGTGCAGTTGTGATGGGTCGCTTGTGACATATTTCTTGTTCAACGTTTATGTGTCCTGCAGACTGTAAGCTGCATTGTGGCAGCTGGTCTGACTTATTGCCATAGAACCTATCATGACACCTGAAACATACCTAGGTAATAGTAGGTGTGTTGATTGAATCAAAGTCAGTTAGACAAAAATGATTATATTGTGCTAACAATGCTAAGGCTTAACAGTTTTAGCAGTAACTGCCAAAGTAAAAATAGTCAGTTGGCAGGCCTGTGATGTTAGAAAGCTTTACTCAAGAATTCCAGTGTATTAAATGGCAAAGCTAACACCAAGAATAATCATCCATTACCTTTTGTACCCTTTACAGTTTAGTATGTTCGTGAATGGCCATAGCCTTCACAGAGAAAAGAGAGACTGAATAACTTGTTCAGAAATAAAGAGCCACTAAGTGGCAACTCTAGGTCTTCTTCCCCCAATACCTCAGCTCTTCCTGCCTCGCCACTAAAGACTTTAGAGTCTTGGTTTGAGGATCTAGACTCACTTGGC